TTGAGATGATTCTTGAAGTAACTGAGTGGATAACTGAGATAAAAATCTCATGCCATTAATAAAACAGAGGTGCTCTAAAGAAATGAAGAACATACCAATAGCTGCTTTTGCCTGAGACTTCTAATGAAGTTAAGAAAGATGATTTAAGGGAGAGTTTAAATGTTCACTTCAGTAAACTTTTTACCATTCTCAGCATCCTATTGTAAAACCCAAGTAAGTCAGGCTTCCAATTAGGCCAATGAAAGTGATATATCACTGAGAATGTTGGAGATAGGATGTAGGTCGGAGTCCATATCTCCTGCTGGTTCTCAGTGACTGGATAATTTTCCTAGCCTGGAAAGTAGACAGCTTTTTTATTCACAGACAGTGGTTGTTGCAGTCTTGATAAGATAGAAAGCCTGGGACATCTTGCCTCCATTGAAGGTGACTGCTGTCCTCTTTGCTGGTAAAGCTTTTCCCTAGCCTGACCTCCCCAGAGGCAGTCTGGAGGGTACTCTCTTTGAGTACAATGGCAGAATAAATGCCTGAAGCTATATACAATTGTAACATTGAGCTGCCCAACTTCAAATTTCTGTGGACACTGGTGAAATGGGAGGTCATTTTGTTGCTAGAGTGAGGTTGGTTTGTAGCATTGAAAAAGTTCAGTTTCCTGACTTTTTTGTTTTCTCTATTTTCGAAATGACTGTTCACATGAGAAGTGGGAGTAAAATGCATTTTTCAGGAGAAGCATTTAGAGTGATCACTGTCTGTTTTTTGCACTCCCCAATTGTTAAACAGTCATTTGTGAGGTGGCTTCTTTTAAACCATTCAGGAATTTTGTCTAATAGGCAAATGTTTCTGAAATGTTTCATCAGTGTAGACTCAAATGCCTTGCTTTTGTGTAGCTTTCAGCTCCTAACCCTCATCTAGCTTCCAGTTTATCTTAGCAGTACTTTTTTGGAACAAATCTTTCCTAAGTCCTGATAGTCTTTAGGTAGTTTGCTTCTTGTTTTAATAATCTGCCTCTAATTTTAAAAAGGAAATAAAACCTTGGTTTCCTGCAGGCCAGCTAGAAGTTACTGGCTTCCAGCCCATGTCAAATATATTGAGTGGGTGTTGTTTTTAAATATAAACTTCTTAATTAAAGGTTTTATGTGTTTAATTATGTATGTGTAAAGTGCCAGTCTGTGTGCCTCTTGGGTTTGGTCTAGTTTGGAAGTATTAAATACAAGAGTATATATAGAGAAACAGAATAAGGTTTAACTCTTAGCTCTGAATACTTTATCCCGAGCTTCACTTGAGGGAATGACGTCCCAATGGGTATAACAAGAATCATTCTTTCAACTGAGGAAGCTTCTTAATTAGGAAAAAATGAACTTGAAGAACCAGAATCAGCCAGAAAGCGATTATTATAGGCATTATGTTGTAGCAAAAAAAACATTCTAGACTATACCAGAGAAAAGTTTCTAAATGTGATATTTTATTACTGTGTACTTTATAGAGTTAGGATATTCTCTAGGATATTCTGACCATCCACAAATAAGCCACCAAATTTTTCAAATTATAATGCTATATTTGAGTAATTTCAGTAAAATATCATATTTAAGTAATAACATGGTATTTAACTTTAATGCAGCTATAACAAAGATATAAATCCTTCTTGTGAGTGAGGGGGCTGAAGGTTTTTACAACTTGGGGTCCAGTTGACCAAAGGGAGGAGGCTCCTTTAAGATTTAATTTATGTTGAAGATGAGGTCACTGGGTTGAGATTTCCCTGGAGATACTGTGAAGTACTCTAGGAAACACTTCAAAGAGGAGGGGGAGATTTTTCTTTTAATCAGAATAGTTCCTGCTTTGGGCTTTACTGCATAATACTTTGAGATCCTGCACTAAAATTTTGTTAGGGGTGAGGAAAGTCTGTGGCTTTAAAAAGATTTGACAGTTACTAGAAAATGCTGCACAAAAGGAGCCTTTCACATCACCACATTGATCATTCTGTAGTACATCCAGCTCTCTCATCTCTGAATATGTAGAATTTTCTCTCTTGTGTAACATCACATGTCGTTATAGTCAAGAGAGTAAGAATGTCACTCTCACTTTTGGAGAACTGTAGGAAAGGCTTAATAGGTAACGAGAAACCACTTAGAAATGATGTCCGGAGCTTCCAGATATACAGACTGGCATGAAGCACCTACTGCTTTGAGAGAACGGCACAGTTTTTACTGAGATGGAGTTTTGATGGCAAGAAGATGGACTAGAACATGAAAAACAGTTTTGAAGGAGTTTGTTTCCTGAGCACTTGACCTCCTACATTTTGAGTCTCCCAGGGAGTCTTTTTCTTTGGGCTCTGAATTTGGATAAATGCTGTTATCCACATGATTGTTTCTATAATTTTGGTCTGGTTGTAGAACATCTATTTGTTAGTGTGGGAGTGGGAAGATGACATAAAGTTTTTTACAGTAGATTAGCCTTCAATTCTCATTTGTGGTCTGTTCTTTATAAATTAAAGTTGTCATGCTGAAAAAGCTGTGTAAAACGCAGAATATACACAATTTAACTTTTGAAGCCTGTATTAATTCACCTCTTACAGTCTGATGCATGGTTTTCCTGACTCATGTCAGCTTCCCAACTCTGAATCATGTGTATATGCAATCTAGTAAAATAGATTGTAGTCAGTTTTTATTTTATTCTCAGTTTTTAGTTACTTGGAATCATTAAAGGAGATTATCAGGCATTCAGAAAAGTTTATTCTTTAGCAGACTTTCCAGGTTTGGTCTCCAAAAGATTGTAGATCATTTAAGACTTTACTTCAGTTGTATAAAGCCATTAGTAGATGATCACCATCATGCATGCATAACAGCACCAAAGTATATACAGTAAAAATAAAAAGGAATTACAGAATTTATGGGGACTTAAATGGCGCTTAATCATTTTTCCTTTCATTTTTCTGTAGCACCAGGGAGAGCACCTGCAGAGAACATGAATTCCTGAGGGTTTATGTCACTTAGACACTTGATATGTCAGTGGATATGTCCTATAAGCCTTCTGCTGCATTGACGTCTTTGTAACTGTATTACAGAAGCCACTTAAGATGAAAAATTTATTTCTGTTTTTAAGAGACTACACTCCCCCCCACACACAGTCTTTCCCTTCCACAGTCTTCTTGGCTAGGTTTTCCCAGTTGAATTTCTTTTGACAAACTGTTGTATGAATAATGAAGAATAAGATTGAAGTCTTTCCGTCTCCCACAAATTTCCAACAGGGTCTGTATCCATATTTATAAAAAAAAGATACACTTAGATGACAACTACTTTCTCTTCCAGGTCTAAAATTTTCTCTTGGTCTTTCTCTTTTTATCTGTAGTTCTGTATCTTCACTGCTCTATTTCAGCTTCTCGTGTAGCTATTTATAAGTACTCATAAAGCTAGGAGTAGCTCATTGGTAAAAATTGCCTAGTATGTGCTATGCTGTGGGCTCAGTCCTCGGTACTGCAAAAACCAAAAATAACCACAATTGTAAAAATACTTATAAAACAAACGTGGTTGGAAAGAAACCTCAACACATGCAGTTGTGGGCAAGATGTGGAGTGTTTAGAAGTTGTAATTTTAATGGTTTGTCTTTTGTATGCATTAGCCAAAAATAACTTACAGTTGTATTTTGTTTATAGAACACAGTTGTAAAATAAAACAGTGACATAGTTTCACCTATCAGCGATTTAAAATGTTGTTATCCAGCATTGATGAAACTATACAGAAATGCTTACCCTCATACATTGTTGTTGGGCTGTTGCATCTTTTTTGAAGGACAGTAACTATTTTTATGATACATGACTGAAAAATATGGCCTGTAAATTTAAAACATTTACTACAGTAGAAGACACATTTCCATTTATCTGCCTCAGAATACTTCCCCTTGCTTTGAAAACATTTATCCTATTGTTCTTGCCACTTGTGAAGCAAGTTTGGAAGTCATCATTAGTTGTGCTGATTTGGTTGCCTTCATGGCCTGTATCTATTCAAAATATTTATCTTTCATGATCATTTTAGCTTTGGGCAAGAGCTGGAAGTTGCATGTTATCAGATCCAGTGAATAGGAGAATGAAGTCCAACATAATATTTCTATGAGCCTACTTTTCTTTGGATAGTGGTCGTCATCAGCATTGAACTTATTTTTGATCACACTTCATAAAGACTAACGAAAGGGAACTTCTCGATCTCCTTCAGGAAGTGGCAAAAAACCAATGGGACAAGTGCATTTAGAGGCATATTTTGAGGTAGATTAATTGAAATGCATGTTTTACTATAGTAAACATTTTAAATTTAAATATGTATTTTGAGCACAAATCAGAATTTATATAAATTGTTATCAGTGACTTCTGAAGTCTCTGAAAAAGTTCCTATTTTAATATTGAGACATGCAGGGGTGTTACTGCTATATTGTTTGTAATAGTGCAAATTTGGAAAGATCCTTTATTTCTATCAAGAAAGAAATGGGCCATAAGGGGTATTTTATATATCTTCATTTTACAGACATAAAAATATACAAAGCATGAAGCTAATCTGTATGTATTATCATATTGTAAGTAGAAAAGCAAAAAACAATTATATTTCACTGTGGTCCATTTATGTAAAATACATAAATATCTATATTCATATATAGCTGTATAGAAAAATGGGGCGAATACACACCAAACTGTTAACATTAATTGGAGAGAAGAATTCTATTTTTATTACATATACACATCTATTAAATTTCTTAAAAGTATGTTGCTGGTATAAAATAAACAAACACGGAAAGATCAGGAATTGATTCCTGAACAATGAGAAAGCAAAAAGATAGCAGGAAATTTGATAAAGATACTAAGAGAACATTGTTTAAAGAATATTCCCAAAACTTCAGAAGAAGATGAGAAAGCATAGTTTGTAGTTTGGCCAAAGCTGTCTAGCACTTTATAGCAAGAACTCTGCCCTTTTGTTTCTTGACATGTCCAGCTTACTCTTTTTCTTATCCATGTTCTACAGGTAACTCGGGACCAGATGAAGGTGTTTATACAGCAGGAATTTAAGAAAGTTCAGAAAGTGATTGCCGACGAGGAGCAAAAGGCCCTTCATCTAGTGGACATCCAGGAAGCAATGGCCACGGCTCATGTGACTGAGATTTTGGCAGACATCCAATCCCATATGGACAGGTTGATGACTCAAATGGCCCAGGCCAAGGAGCAACTTGATACCTCCAATGAATCAGCTGAGCCAAAGGCAGAGGTAAATGAAAATACCCACTATCATTAGTAGCAGGATAAACAGGAAGAACCTGATTGCCATGTTTGTTAGTGTTGGAAATGCTCTTTTGTGATCCCTGATCATGAATGAATTGAAATCTTAGGTACAGTTACAAGTGTTTCAACTGGTGTGTGACCTAGTATGGAAGTACAGTATTGGCCACTATGGCTTATACTCAGCAGCTGAACCTGGCAAAGTATAGTATATGTATCTATTTTCACTTAAAAGAGCGTAGTCAGTGGGGCAGATACTAATCAGTGAAATTAGAATCAGAAAAGAGGATATGTGACACCTCTTGGGTTGTGGAATGAATGTATAAATAAAGTCATTATTGAAATGGGAACTGGGCTCAAGGAGAACAAGTCAGGAAGCAGAGCACAAAGCAGGCCAGAATGAAAAAAATTTGGACCTGTTCTGTAAATAGTTTAAGGGTGCTTCAGGCTTGATTTTATATGGTGTTTACTGTATAAATTGGAGGTACAACTGCTGGATTAAGAGTGGCATGTGGAGCCAGGTGTTGTAAGTCACATCTGTAGTACCAGCTACTCAGGATGCTGAAGAGGAATGATCATTTGAGTCCTTGAATTCAAGACCACTCCAGGAAGACCCTGTCTCAAGACAAAACAAAATGAGAGTGTCATGTATGCTGGGACATTGTAAAGGTAAAGACAAAAACCAGTGGGAGTGAAAGATACAAGGTAGATTTGGATCACTGTGCAAAATGTTAGTTTTCATATATTGCAGAATAGTAGAGAGGGTCATTTTGCGGTGTAATAAACAAAAAGTTCAACCAGAATTAACTCAGCAGACCAACAGTATGACTCAAATTAGCCTCTCACATTTATTGATTAGGTGGTTCTTTCAAAAATAAAGATCTGATTTTATGAAATATCCCCATCTTTTATTTATTTCAAAGAATGAATTTTGTCTTTTTGCATCATTAACTGTCTTTTAGGTACCTCAACTGATGGAATTACTCATAGGAATGTAAAAGCTGACAAATGACTAGGATGGGGACAAAATAAGCTATTAATTATAAGAAGTAACATTCAGCCTGCTAGAGCGGGTTCAAAGAGCTGTTATCACCTAATAGCTTTTGTTCCAGTTAATCTGGTAACTCATTGGTTAGAGCAAATATTTAGTAATTCTCTTTCACTTAACAGAGAAATTCCTTTGCCAAAGTATGGAATATCTTTTAAAAATCACCTGTATTTGAAATTTAGCTGAAAGATTTCCTTGTCAGCATTTTATATGAGAAAAAAATTCAAGCATACAACAAAGTTGACAGGATTTTATAGATTATATCCATGTATCTACCACCTAGATTGTAATCAATTAACATTTTGCCATACTTGCTTCATTATATTTTTAACCACCCTTCCAACCTTCCACTCATCAATCAATTTTATTTTTAGCACTAAAGGAAAATGAAATTTCTGATTCTGGGTAAGAACCAGAAACACATTCCATTTTACTCTTTCAACTAATTACTGTAAAAACAGAAGACATTTCTAAAGGTGGGAAAAGATGTCATACTGACAAGAAAGACCTTGAATTTAAAGAACTGTAAGGTAGTAAATTCCTTGAAATTTTCCTTGCTTCCATCATGTCCTGTCCCGAGCGTTCTGCTAACTGGAAACAGTTTGTAAACCCCTCCCCTCAAAAAAAAAAAAAAAAAGGTTCAAGCAAAACCAGATAACTAGGGAGAAACCTTTTGACCTACCTACCTGTCCATTCTGGAGATGAATATTATAAAGAAAAAGCTGCCCTCCTCTTCAAGTCCCACTGACACACTACTGTAGAGGAATTAACTGATGGACTGAAAAAATCAGTTTTATACCCTCCCTTGGAGAAACAAAGTTATCTGGTTTCCTTAGTGACTGTAAGTGAGACTGATTTCTGCCTTTGCCCTTGCTCCTGTTGGTAGCAAACAGTTCTTGTCTGTCATGCATCTGTAGGAAGAACTCTGACTTTGTTCCTGCCTGCTATAGCAGCAAGGAAGTACACCCCTACCCTATGGAGATAGGAACTAGAGCATATAACTTCTTCCTTTTACCCTTTTGACTAGACATTGCCCTTCCCATGCTGGCTCCATGGCTAGAACTTTATCTCCTATCCTTGCCTTGTAGTAATGACATGGTCCTCTCTTTTTCCTTGGCTAGCTCTGTGGGTACTGTCGAGTAAAGTTACCATCTGAGTGGACCAGAATAGCACTGCAGAAGCTTTGTAAAGTAACATGACATTTGAACCATGGTCCTCAAAAAGTGACCCAGGACTTGTATTTGGAAACTGTACAAGTTGACTACCTGTCAAAAAGGTTTAAATAACATGTTCTTCTCCTGTGACTCAATATATCCAGGATACACTTTAAAGTTACTCATTATATAATAAAATCTCAATTCTAATGAGAAGATACATGCCAACACCAAGATGGCACAAGTTTTGGGATTGTCAAAAAAAGGAAAGCTTTTATAAGTGTCTCAGTGAATATTTACAAACACCCTGGAAACAAGTAAAAAACAGAAAATATTACCAAAGAAATAGATATGAAAAAGTATCAAATAAAAATTTTAGATTTGAAAAACATGATAACTGACACAAAAAAAATTTATTGGAGTTGCTCACTGGCAAATTCAAGATGACAAAAGAAAATAAACTAGAGATAGTTTAATATTGATCTAATCTAAATAACCAAGAAAAAGTTATAGCAAAATAATTGAGCTCAACTTGAAGGATCTGTGAGGCAATAATGAAAGTTCTAATATACATATATTAAGAGGAAAGAGGAATGAGGGGCTGAAAAGTTGCTCAAAGAAATAATGGTTCAAAATTTCCAGCATTTATAAATCTATAGATATAAGAAACTAAGTGAACTCAAACAATATAAAATCTTGAGAAATAATTCCCAAACACATAAAAATCAAACTTATGAAAACTAAGGAGGAAGGAAAAAAATCTTGAAAGAGCAGCTGAAAAGAAATAACATACTAGCTGTGGGAAGCAACAATTTGAATGAACGCGGTATATGGCTCCATCTATAAGTCTGATTTATATATGTTTAGAAATAATTTGTGTGCAGTTTTCATTTAAAGGCTTTCAATGACTTTTGCTAAATTTATTTTTAGATCTTTAATTTTTGATGCTCTTGAAAGTAAAATTGCTTTTGAATTTTATTTTTCAAGACTTTTCATGTTATATGCCATTTTTTGACACTGGGTTTCACTAGATTGGCAGGCTGACCCCAAACTCAGGTAGTCCTTCTGTCTCACTCTCCTGAGGAGCTGCAGTCATAGACCTGTGTTATTTAACCTCGTTTACAATTGATGTTTTTTTATATGGGGTGGGGGTGGTAACCGGGAATTGAACTTAGGACCTCATGCAAGCACTGCATGACTGAGCTAAATCCCTAGCCCCTACAATTGATTTTTATGGTTTAACTTTTTTCTTTTAACCTCGCCCAAACCTTTATTAGATATAATAGTGGTTTTATAGATTTTTGCAACCTTGTGCATAGCAATGTCATCTACAAACAGAGACAAATTTACTTCTTCCTTTCCAGTTTCTCTGCCAGTTATTTCTTTTTCTTGCCTTATTGCACTGTGTAGGGTAGTGACAGAAAATCTTTTATAATTTTCTTTCAGTGATAACAAACACTGAGCTGCAGCACACTTGCCATAGGTTCACTGCCACCAGTTTAGGCCTTAATAGTGCCTGACATAAAGGGTAAAAGTGGCATCTGTGCTTGGTTCCAGTCTTAGAGCAAAAGCATTTAGTATAATATATATGATGGATTTTTTTAGGTGTTCTTTATAACTTTGAGGAAACTTTCCTTTGTTCTTAATGTGCTGAGGATTTTATCTTAATATATTGAATTTTATCAAATATTTCTTTTGCACCTATTGAAATAGTATGTATTTTTCCATTGTTTGATTGTAATAATTAATTACACTAGATAATTTTATAATAATCCAATGTTGCATTCTTGAGATAACTTCTGGGTTCACGTTTGATAGTATCTTATTAAGATTTTTATGTCTTTGTTCATGAAGGGTATTAGTCTGCAATTTTGTATTTCTGGAATGTCATTACCAAGTTTTTGTATTAGATTTATGCTTTTCTCATGTGACTTTCTCATTCTTTTCTGCCAAATTTATTTATATCATTTTTTATAAAACTTCATCAAATTCAAGTATTAAAAGTTTTTCAAATGTTTTTCAGTTCTAAAAAGTGGCGTTTATTTTTATTTATATTGTGGGCATTTCTATCTTTTGTCATCTTTCAAAGGAGTTTCTGATTGCAGTAAGATAATAGAAAAAGTTATTTTAGATGAGGAAATCACTAAAAATGATACATGCTTAGCTTGTGCATTTGTTTTAAACTTGAAATATATGTCTGTACACTATTTTTGTGGTCCTGAATCAAGGAATTCTTTTGAAAATGTGGCTTACTTATATGTCTGGTATAAAGATCCAGCACATCTATACTTTACCATTTAAAATACCCAGTTTCACTCTCTTTATTGTGAAGAAGATACCATCTAAAACAAGCTGAATGCTTGTTTCTGGTATATTCGTACTTCATCTGTAGTTAAAATTGTCACCAACTTTTAAGTAACTTATTTTACTGAACGGTATGGAAGCATTCAGATTCTCATGAAAGCAACAATTGTCTCTTGCACTCATTTTTTTGGTACTTAGTTAAATGTAACATTATAATTTCAAATTCAGCTGAATAAACAGGCTTGAGATTAAAGTTGTTTGGCTCTTAGTGAACATTTCCACTGGTGGAAGTAGAAATGAGACATTGCCCTAAATTGTAGCGTGCCAACAAAGAAAACATTCAGGATGTTTTAAGCAGGGATTTGGGAGCACTGTCCAATCTAACAAGTTGTCTAAATGGAAGTTAGTGTTTAATTCACTCTCACTTATAACATTCTTGAAATCAGCATTATCTTGGGAAGTGAAATTAGTTTTAAGTCTTACTCTATCTTGCCTACCCTCTTTTCCTATTTACTGTTTGCCTTATGCTGCCTTTGGTACAATGAATGCAGAGATGAACAAAATATGGTTTTCATTCTCAAAGAGTTGAAATTCAGAGATGGAGAATCTTTATGGTGGTGTCATTAGTTTTCCTCTCTTCTCTTAAGTGCTAGTCTAGAAGGATGAGCTCTTCAGATGCGGAGTTCAGAGGAGGATTATCCCACTCACACTCTTAGTGAGGAGGTATCTGAATAAGACTTGATCTTAAGGGATAGATAGAAATTAGCTAGGCTTTGGGATAAATGTGTACATTTTAGGCTGCAAGAAGAGCATGTACACATCTTATAGTGGCGGATTAGTCATCTCAATGTCTGCTGACCTATTCAAAGTGACCCTAAAATTCATGCATGTGTATTTATTTTCATCATTCATACCTTCCATGGTGAAACTCTCATCCTGGCCTTCCCCATGTTTTGTGATAGCAACTGCTATTTTTGAGGGAAAAAAACCACGTTTATAAGCAGCAGAAATAGGTGAATTCATGGCAAAACCTCATGCTTTGTATTCCCTTCTTCCGTATTTCTCTCCAAGAAAGGTTATTAATTGTAATTCATAGCAAATAAGATAAGGAGGACCATTTGTTGAACACCCATAATGTACCAGATACTTGCTTAGAGTTTTATATAGATTTATTCATTTATTTCAATCCATGTAGTGACCCTTCAAGATAAGAATTAGGATCTCCATATGCAGATGTAAAAGCGAATGTCGGAAAAGCTAAGTAAATTGCCAAAAGCTTTAGTGTTGGAATTAATTTGAGGTAATGTTTTTATAATTCAGAAATCTCATTGCACTAAAATGTGTGATTGGGGGGGGACTTGCTGTAAATCATAGGGAAAAGTTTAGGTACTTCTAGACAGGTATGGTTAAACATCTAAAGATAATTGAAAAATTGTGTTGAGCTTTAATTGCACTTCAGATAGTTTTGTAACTCATATGAAATTTAAATTATATGACTTTTTCTCTTGCTGTATTGTAGTTCTCATGAGACATGTCAGTTGATCAAAATGCAGAGAAAGCTCCCACTGTGTCTGTATCCTTTCACCACTTGTCCCATTTTGCTCTCATTGGAACAGGATGATTAGCGCTCTTACCATTGTCCAGGTCCTTAATGGTCTGTTAAAGTACTCTTCCTGTTCATCCTCTAGTAGGTATTCTGGTTTAAATCACCTCGTTGGCTACAGCTGTCCTTCACAGGCTTACACCCTGGCAGTTTCTATGTATCTCTACTGTACTCTCAGCTTTCCACTACCCTCAACCTGCTCCCACACACCTTGCCCCAGACACATGCATGTCCTCATTCTCTAGTTCCACAGAACTCAGAGTACCTTCAGCAGTAAATATTTAAAAATTTACCTTTGCTCTTGCTTTTCAGTGCTTTTCCCATTTTTTCCTATTGTCAGCCTGTGAAAATTCTTATTCTTTAAGGGGCAATGTAAATGCCCCCTTCTGTGTGAAGCCCTTCCCAAGTTCTCAAGGAGAAGCAGTATTCATCACTTCCCTTTTGACTCACAAATTGTTCTGTTTATGTCTTTGTTAGATCCCTTAACATATTTAACCATAGTTAAGTTTCTTTTTGCCTGTTTCCTATGCTCCTGATTGGGAGCATCTAGGTGGTTAGATCATTATGGGTTGTTTTATCTTTAGCACCTATATATAGGACCTATATATACTACCTATATAGGTCCTATATATAGCACCTATACATAGTAGCTTCTTAATGAACCATACTGAATTACTTCTGAAATTGATAAATATCCTTTATAGAGTATATTCTATCTCAGGCAGTGGGCATGATGATTTTAAGAGTTATTCACTCTTATCTATCCTATGGTTAAAGAGAGAGATACAGTCCTCTTTTACAAATTAAGAAATTTAAGAAAGGAGAAATCACTTACCTAGGATACAGGTCTTGAAAATGAGAGAGTTAGCATTTGAACCCAGAATGTCTGGTTTCTGCTTCATTGTTCTTTATACTAGCTGGAATTATTCACTCATTTATTCCTTCTCTGGGGAGTGAAACCAGAGATACATTCTCTGTTGAAACCATCACTGAATAAGTAAGAATGTGAAAGATACTGTGTCACCAAAGGATAACTGAGCTACGGAAAAGGCTTAACAGTCATTTGAAAGGTATTGTTTGATCACAGAAAGGATCAGAGGAATCTGCTGTGATCAATATTGATAAAGTTAGGTTAAAAGGATGCAATGTCTAGAAAAATCATATTCACACATTATTTTTGCAGAGTGGGCAAGAAAAAGTCATGTTTGGCTGAAGAATGATGTAGGTCATTAATGCTGGAAATACCTTCTTAGATAGAAGAAAGCCTAGGTTTAGATTAATTAATCAGCTTGCCCAGGAGCACATACTTAAAAAGCATCAGAGCTTAGACTGGCATCCTAACTTGGTACCCCTTCCACTTTAGTATGCTATATATTAGAGTTGCTGTGTTCATGCTTAGAGATAAAAATGGTAGACCATGGCAGAAAAGAGTCTGTAAAAGAAACAGCTTGATACTTTTGGAGCTGGTCAGCTTTTACCTAAGACCTGCTGCTATTTTGGGGCTCTCAGTTTGTCCAGAACCGAATACTGCCAGCCAAAGAAATAAAAAAGCAAAGCTATTATTTAGGCCTCCTAGGTCTGAACATTCACTTCTCTGTTTGCAACGATAAATTATCAGTTCATCTCTGCTGAGCACATTGAACATAGGGTTTATATTAGACCTTGTCTTAGTCTTTAGATATACAAGCCACTGGTTTGTCTTTTTCTTTTCTTCTTTTTTTAAATATATAGTCTTTGCCGTCATATTAGAAGAGAAGAAGAAAGAAATCTAAGTCGTTTTTCACAATAATGACTTCTAATCCTGTTTTTTTTCTGTTGTCTTTCAGGGCGATGAGGAAGAACCCAGGTAAGATCACTTTATTCTGCTTGTCTGTTCTCAGAATTGAAGTAGAATGACATTTGCGGCCTTTTAATATCCCACAAAATGTGGACAACCGAGGAAATAGCATAGAAAAGAAATCTCCGTCTTCAGCTAAGGCTTTGAAAATCTTATTTTTTAAGACTCTCATCTCCTTTACTACCTGTGCCGTTTCCTATCTGTAACCTTCAGATAAAGGTAGACTTGAAAGTTGTAATGATAGTGACTTTGCTTTATTCTTTAGCACATTCAGAATACTTTGTTAAGAAAAAGGCACCACTACATTTGAACTATAGTTATGCTATCAGGTGGGCCTACTAAATAAACTTTCACATTGTTCTTTTTGAATTTGAATTTGATTTTTTTAAATGAGCTCTGGGTCTAATATTCTTTATTCCTGATTTGTAGCACTTTTGTGTCTGGCCCTAAGATACTAATACAATGAGTGCAAGTCAAAGGTATACAAAATTTTGTTCAGGGAAAAAAATGCCTTTATGCTTTTCTGCATCTACAGTTACATGACATTTTTAAAAGTGCATTTCATTATTGTCTCAGCCTTGTGGTGAACCTGGGCTTTGGTTTACTTACCTTTCCTGTATTTTGCTCAAGCATTGTGAACAGACAGTAAGAAATGCTACAGTTGTGTCATCACAACTAGGAATTTGTACCAAGTGAAATGTAACGTCTAGACAGAGATCATATCTCCTCCCCCTCCCCCAGTCACCCAGGCTCAAAAACTGATAGACTGGGAGGGATTAGAAAGGTCAGTCAGACCACTGCAAATCATTTTATTTCTAGCAGAAATAATTTGGTTTTTTTTTCCCCAAACAAACTTTAAGTAGAATCTCAGTGTGTAAAAAACCTCTTTTCTCTACTTAAAAGTAGGGCCACATCTATTGGTAAACCGTCTTTCTCTCTGGTGGTATATCCTGAGGGGCTTCTGCAGAGAACAAAGTTTCTCAGAATTCAGTTTGAACATCACTAATCTAGTTCAAGTGCCTCATTAAAAGAAGGTAGATAAGCGGGGTTGGAGATTTAGCTCAGTGACATAAGTGTCTGCCTGGCAAGAGCAAGGTTGTAAGTTCGATCCCTAGTTACCCCCCCTCCCCAAAAAAGCTAAATAATTGGCCAAGGTTATCGTACTGGCAGTTCTTTGATTTGTATCTCAAACAAAAAAATAGCTTCTTTTTTGTTTTCTCTGCTCACATTCTCAGCTCCGTTTATAGTTATGAAGTATCAAACATTATCCCATATCTCCATGTGCCAGTGCTTCCTTCCCTTGGAAACTGGCTCTCCACCTCTACTCTGGAATGCTGAGGAACTGTCCAGCAACTTTTCTGCCCTGCTTTAAACTCCATCTGCTAGCCATTCTTGGGAACAGATTCCTTCTGTGTCGTGATTTCCTTACCCTTTTCCTCTGTCCCTCCCTTTATCTCTATCTTTCTTTACTCTTTCTTCACTTACCAATTTAAAATATGTTTGTGACCCTTTGTGTATGAGGCACTGGGCTTTCATACTGGGTACATATGGTGAGTAGGGCAGACTAGAGACAGGCATCGACATCTAACAAGCGCTCACTGTGGCTGGTGCTGTGATAAGCCATGTCCAGGCTGCATGCGGAAGGGCTCCAGGAACTGTCTGGGCAGTGAGGGGAAGCTCACCACAGAAAGTTATACATAAAGCAGAGGTCTGGATGATGAGAAGGCAGGCAGAGGAAGAACAGGGTCAGTTTTTGTAGACAGAAGAAAACAGTGTAAATGGTTTTCATAGAGAACATGGAAGAAGGAAAGTCGAGTTCAGTTCCTTTAGTACCATATAAACCAAAGACATTTTAGCTCTATTATGAAGTCAGCAGGAAGCTTTCAAAGAATTTTAAACAGGAATTAACATAAGCAAGTTTGTGTTTCAGAAGTTTTCATGCCTTTGAAATGGAAAATAAATTGGAAGTGAGTAAAGGACCAGAGTTGTACTAGAGGTCTTAATATGTTTTGTGTTCTATAACAAAGTACTTGAAACTGGGTATTCATAAAGAAAAGAGATGTCTTTAGTTCACACTTCAGGAGATCCAGGGTCATGGCACCAGTGCCTGAGTTGGTTCTGGTGAAGGCCTCACAGTGGATGGCATCATAATGGTGAAAAACTTTGCAAAGGGAAGATTGAAGAAGGGTGACACCTCCTTTATAACAACCCTTTTTCTGGGAACTAATCCAGCCTCAGAAGACCTGCTTAATCCCTTCCTAAGGTGGTGCTCCCTTGACCCTAATCAGCTTCAGCAGCCCCTATGCCTTAAATGTTTTGCCACCTTTTAACATCTCCATACTGGGGGCCATGCGTGCAGCACATGAATCTGTGGGGCTCAGATCACATCCAAACCATATTACTTGACTAGCAGTGATAGGGACCTAAACTAATATATGCTTCAGTTACTGACCAGATTTTCACCATTTGCACAGAAGTTTGATTTAGACACCAAATTCTTATTGGCACTTCATCTCTTTTATTCTCAAGACTAACTCTAGGTTCTTATAATGCAGATTAGACACATTTCTAGACCTTTCCCAGAAAGAGTTTCTGCAAGATCACATAGAGAAAATGCTTTAGCAGAGGTAGAACATCAGCTCCATAGAATGCCAATGGCGTTTCTGTCTTGGGAGAGCCTGATGAGGCTGAGGCACACATTTTATCTTTATGGCCACATGCCAGAGTCATGTTGATTAGAAGGATACAGACACCTTATGAAAAGATTAACACTCCCTTCAAGATACTAATTGAGTATAAGATTTTGGCTTTAGGGTTTAATTGCAGGTACGTTCATGTCATTTTGACAAGGCATAGAGTTTCCGTACTAGCAACCAAGATGTCAACCCATTTATAACATTTATAAATTATAAAATGTTATAAATGAGCCAGGCTGCCATGGATGTCAGCAGGGTTCTCTTGGACTAGAACTTGACAAAACCATTTTTGGTACAGTGAGCACTTGAAGAGCATGTTCCGGTTTGGCATAAAGAAGGAAGAGGAGTTACATTTTTTAGCTTTTAAATTAATGCTTGTTGATTCCATTCAGTTATTTGTATTAGACTGCCATTTGGCTTAATTTACTCCAATTAACACTTCAGGGCAGATTGTCTTTGATCTGAAATTTGTCACTTACGATATACACTTTACTATTTCAACAAGCCAAACAGAATAATGTCCCAAAGACTTCTGCATTGTTGACAGATTAGATGAGGATTTGATATGTTAGGGAGGCAGAAAGAAAATGTATATCTCTCTGCACAAACTATAGATGAGAAATTTGCTTGGCGACCCTAAGTTTTAGTTCTGCTCGAACTCTTACGCTGTGTCGTGTTTGTTAGCATTCTTCCTGAATAGCCTCTTTCCCACTGTATATGTATAAGTCAAGGAAGACAGATTCAAGCCAGTTTCCACAGTGAAAATTACAAGGAAAATTCCTGTCATGTAGGAACATACATGCCTATAATAGATCTTCATTCTTTTGTACCAGCTAGAGTCTCTTTGCTTCTCTTCTCTTTTCTGTTTTAACTTCCCAAACTGTTGGACATAAGGAGGCTGGATGCTGTGCTTTTTGTCATGTCTGTTTCTTGCCCTGAGTTTTAGTGTACAGTTATCCTGCTAATTAAAATAATACTGATCAAAGCTACTATTTATTGAAAGTTCATTTCATCCAAAATGCTTCATATGAAGTAAAATTTGAACCTTATATAAAAATTATGCTCTGTTATTCCACTTGTCAAATAAAGAAGTGCTTTAAGAGAATAATTTGCCCTGGACCACAAGGCTAACAAATGACAGAGTTAGGACTTGATTCTCTTCAGGGCTCCATGCACTCAAAAATAATCTTGGACTGTCTGCAAGAGGCCAGCCCACTTCACTCTGGGGGGCCTGTATGAAAGTCCAGTGGCTTCGCACACAGTTCTCAGCGGATCTCTTTGGGCTGGTTCCTCTGTCTTGGGAGTTCGTACTTGCTCTGACATTGAATTGCCGACTTTGGTTTTCTGCAAGCAGCTTCTCAAGAGAGGCTCTTCGGCTTATTTTCTGTCATATAGGGATATTTCTTTGCCTCATCTTCACATAGTGTCCTCAGAATATTAGCAACAAAAGGAGTGCTGTCTGCGGAGTGGCCAGGTAAGGCTTCTTTGACCCCCTCCTAATAGCTGCCCATTGCTCAGCTTGTGGTAACTTACTCCTCAGATCCATGACACATAGTCATATATCTGGCAAGAATTCTCAGAGGACGTGAAGGAGCAAAAGTCTTAATATGTAAAACATGGATATTAGCAGCTGTAGACTCATCTTGTAAGAAGGTGTCTTTGAAGCTCAGAATGATTTTTTTTTCAAGCAAAGAAGCAATTTACACTTTTGGCAGCAATTTTCTGTCTTCTCTTTGCTATTATGGAAGATCTTGTGTTCGCTCCTTCACAGATTGGCTTCTTCTCTACTCTTGCCAGAACCTGCTAAGAAGTAATATATATTCAAGGAGAGGGGATGGCAGTATGATATTCTAGTGTGAGAGTAATTGTGTAGTGGGAGGACATCAGAGAAGGAAAGATGCTTAAACTCTTGTGCTTAGAGGAGAAAGAGTGAGTCAGGACTAAATTTTAACTTCCTTTTGAGGTTTTCTGTATTTTTTTTAAGATAATGGAAAAATGGGTTTACGATTAGTAACAGCCATATTTGGAGTCTCTAGAATTTTTCATCTTCAAAGCTGGATTTTATTTAGGCAAAAAAAGCTCCTGCTGAGATCAGTATTAACATGACCCATGCTGATTTTGTGATCAAACAGAAAGTGTATGGTGAAAGAGTAGGAACTAGAGGAGTCACATTCCTTACTTCTATACTTGATTCTGCCTGTGACTGTGTGACCTTGGGCAAGTCATTTAACCTTGTACTCTGTTGTTAATTTCCCTGTAAATTCAAACCTCATCTCTCCTCATCCCCATCTGGCTTATTTTGGAGATAAAATT